AGAGATACTAATTTATTGAGTGGCCGAAGCCAAGCCATTACTGTTGCATCCCTGCTCCAATATCTACTCTGCCACCTCACGTTTGTGTTTTTTATTACTAGCATTTATGCCCCCCGTAAAAGGATGCTCCTTAGATAAAGTCCGCTTTCCTGCTAATTATAAACAACTGAGTCACCCTCATAAACAGATTTGTCAGGTTCCTTCTTGGAAACAGTGAGGGCAGGAAGTTCAAGCGCAGTGTCACTGATCTGGCCCTTCTCCTGTACCCAGCACATTACCTTTAAGTTGATTTACATTAAACCAGTGGGCTCCATAAGGGGAGACTGGTTAATGCTGGTCAAAGCTGCCTCCACAAACTCGCACCAGTGCCCACGAGGAAGGAGAGAGGAGACATGGAGATGGGGGAACGGGGCTGTCTGGCTGAGAACACAATGTCCTGGGTACAAGGACGCTTAATCCTTCATTAGGAACCGAGGAATGATCTGCGTTGCAGCCTTTTCAGGACTCGCCTTTTAGGTAAGTGTAAGATCAGGCAAGCCTGCCCCAAATATCTGCTGCTGGACACAGCTGTCACCAAACATTAAGCTGTATCCAGAGCTTAAAAATCCACCACCTTACATCCGGAGCTGTAAAAATCCACCAACAGGATTTTTTACAGTGGAAGAGAAATGCTTGTCTAGACTAATTTCTGGCTCTTTCTGTTGAATCTGAGCAGGTTCAGCTTTCCCTGCCCCATGTTCTTTAAGGTCCCTTCCATCTCTAACCATCCTATGATTCTAAGCATGAGGATGGGGCACGCAACACCCCAGCTGTTCCCCAGGCTGCCCCCCAAGTTGCTGAAGTTATTCTTTACCAGGATCAAACTAAGAAACCCTGAAATGTGGTCCCCGTTCAGGTTCCACCTCAGCCTTTCAAAGCCCGCACAGGAAATTTTGCTGAAGCCATTTTGCACAGAAGCATCAGTGACTTCTTCAGGGGTTTGGGTTTGCGGTGAGATAAATCAAACTTACTTTAGTTAATGCTGACAGACGCTTTCTGGCAGGCAGGTGCGCTCTGCTGGGGCTTAATTCACAGAAATGGCCAGGAAAGTTGCTTTAAATGCTTCTCCTGGAGATGTTCAGTCGGTCTCAGCCCAGGGAAGTCGAGGAGGTTTCCTGAATGAGGAAAAAATGAGTTTCCTCTGCTACATTGGCAGGACAGGCTGAGAGAAGAGGGATGCTGTTTGCTGTGAGGCAGCACCCAGAGCCCCATCCTGGGTTTGCAGAGCTGACTGTAACCCTAAACTGGGTCTCATGGACAGGCTCTTCCCCAGGGCAGGCAGCAGCAGCAGCAGAAGGGTGATTTCCAGCCACATGAGATATCTGGAGGGGTTTTCCCATAGTCTCTTAGCCAGTGAGCACGGGGTTTTGCTCCATGCACTCCTTTTTCAACAACAAAAAAAAAAAAAAAAAAGGAAAAAAGAACACCGTTTCCCCATAATCCTATTTTCCATCGAATCAAAACGAAGCCACGTGTTTTGCTTCCTTGCCGTTCTCCGTGGGTCGAAAGGGGGGTGGGATTCACTTTCTGCTTCTTAAAATGGACAAGAAATTGTTTCAGATTAGCTTTGGCGAAACTCCCCGTCTCTAAGAGGTGGTTGCGAGCACGAAAAGTTTGCAAGGAAATGTCTGTCATTACAGTAATTCTCAGGTGAGCTTTGTTGCAGATTCAATACAATCTTCCAGGGTGAAACAGAAAGCAGCAGAGTGAAATAATGAGAAATTTAGTTTAATATAGACCACCTCAGGTGGTTTCGTGCAGCTTCTTGCTCCCCTAGAGAGTTTTATGGCATATCACCTACAGTAGCCAATGTAACTGCCCAGAAAGGATAGCAGTCTTATTTCCAGGCCTTCAAAGAGGCAAATGTATATAATCCATACATTTTGGAATTGGAAGCCTGGGCAATTGGAATCCTGGGCTGCCTAGGGAAGAGTGTGACCAGTAGGTGGAGGGAGGTCATTCTCCCCCTCTGCTCTGGGCTCCCCAGTTCAAGAGAGACAGGGAACTGCTGGAGAGAGTCCAGCGTAGGGCAACAGAGATGATGGAGGGATTGGAGCATCTCCCTGATGAGGAAAGGCTGAGAGAGCTGGGGCTCTTGAGCCTGGAGAAGAGAAGGCTGAGGGGAGACCTTCTCAATGCTTAGAAGTATCTAAAGGGTGGGCTGAGGGAGGATGGAGATGGACTCTTCTCAGTGGTTGCCAGGGACAGGACAAGGGGCAACGGGCACAAGCTGGACCATGGGAAGTTCCACTCCAATGTGAGGAAGAACTTTGGGGTGAGGGTGGCAGAGCCCTGGCAGAGGCTGCCCAGGGAGGGTGTGGAGTCCCCTTCTCTGGAGATCTTCAAGCCCCAGCTGGATGCTCCTGAGTGATGTGCTCTGGGCAACCCTGCTTTGGCAGGGGAGTTGGACTGGATGATCTCGAGAAGGTCCCTTCCAACTCCAACAATTCTGTGATTCCGTTATTAATACTATAAGGAGCTCTTTTACGCTGTGCCACAGGATCTGTATTTTCCCTGCTTAAAAAAATATAACCCACCCCTAACTAGCTATTCTGCACAAACTGCCATGCTGTTCTTCATCACTGGGCTGTATGAGCTGGGGGAGAAGATGGCTTTTAAGGGGATGAAAGCCCATCTCACATAGAAGAAGAACCACTGGCATCTAGTGATGTATCTGTTCAGCCAGCACCGAGGAATGCTTTTAATGAGAGCCTGCTTTGATGACAGCTTGGGGAAGGCAGAAGAATTAAAAGCCTGGAGGCTGCCAGATTGCAGGGGGAAGACAGGCAAAATGAAGGAGGTACATGGGATGAGCACTGCGCAGGCACAAGAGGCTTTTGTCAGATGATGGAGCTGTAGAAACCTTCCTGGGCTGGGATCTACATGGTTAGCACTGCTCTTAGGTGTACCTTTTTAAAGGTACTTCTTCTTGCTTACCTGCAAGTCATGCACACCAAACTCCTGCGAGCTCCAGGTGAAAGCTGCACTAATTGCACCAAATCTTCATTATTTGACTGACCAGGGCCTTCTTCCAAAGCACATGGAGGAAGCCCCCCAACTCCAGCAGTGTGCACCCCAGCGTGGGAGGGTCTTCATCTGGCACGCCATGGTGGTGAGAGGGTCAGGACACACAGGCAGGGACCCAGCAGCAGGACAGGAACATTTCAGCATCCTTCCCAAGGCTCCTCTGCTGCCTTTGGGTGTTAGATTAGATCTTTGTAAGGAGGCACATCCCATCTCAGCACACAGCAGTTATGGGCTTGCTGGTGGCGTATTTCCACTTTGCTGCTGCCTGTGAGGTTGGATCAGGGCATGTAAGGTCATCTCATGCCCTCTCCTGCTCAGTTCCACACCCCGTGACCTTTCATCTCCAGGCTCTGCATGAACCTCCCTCTCTCCTGCACAGCTCTCCGTGGGAGCTGAGTATCTTTGGAGGAGGAGCTCTGTAAGGAGGAGCCAGGGCAAAGCTTTGGCTAGCTGCAAGATGGCATTCTTCAGCCTTCCAGCAGCTGAAGGGAGCTCCAGAAGAGCTGGGGAGGGACTCTTTGTCAGGGAGTGCAGTGACAGGACAAGGGAGAACAGCTTTAAATTGGAAGAGGGGAGATTGAGATGAGATACCAGGAAGAAATTCTTTGCTGTGAGGGTGGTGAGGCACTGGAACAGGTTGCCCAGAGAAGCTGTGGCTGCCCCATCCCTGGAGGGGTTGAAGGCCAGGCTGGATGGGGCTTGGAGCAACCTGGTCTGGTGGGAGGTGTCCCTGCCCAGGGCAGGGGGGCTGGAACTTGTTGATCTTGAAGGTCCCTTCCAACTCTAACCAACCTATGATTCTATGATTATTCACTGTGCTGACAGTCCCCACCAAGGGGGGACTCACTACCTTGAGCTCAAGGCTGGGAGAAGGGGACACATGCCATGATTATTCACTGTGCTGACAGTTCCCACCAACAGTGGGGCAGTGTCACTTACCTTGAACTCAAGGCTGGGAGAAGGGGACACATGCCATCCAGGAGGGCTCACACTGACTGTTCCCTTCCCAGGGCATGGCCAACGTTCTGCAGGAGCTCTCTTCGAGTCAGGTTTGAGGCAACCACTCTGCCGTGCTCTCCCACCATCCCTGGTCTCCGCGCAGCGTGGTGGGGCACCACCCTGAGCAATGCAGAGTCACAGCCTGTGGTGCAATGGTCACAAGGGCATGAGACTTCACATGCTTGGTCTGTCTGGGGTTTCTTAATCTGCAGTGCAGGATCATGTGCCATCTGCTTCGTGTGGTGCCGTCCTCAAGGGTGCTTGGCTCAGGTCCTCATACTCCTGGTTTTTTGGTGTGGCAAGCAACAGGCTGACTTGAAGCGGCGCTACCACAGGTCCCATCAGCTCTTGAGGTGCCTTGCCATTCCCTAGGCGGTGTCCTTGGCAAGCTGGTAGCAGTGTCACCTTCACCTGGGCTCACCTCCAGCCTGACTTTGGCTCCCCTAGTGTAACTTCTAACCGAGGCCCACAATAAATGCAGAACTTCAGCCTAAACTCTTCACCAGGGTTTTGGGGGAGGAGACATGCTCAAGAGCTTTACTCAAGAGACTTGCTCAAGAGCATGTCTCAGCATAAGCGATGTCCCCTCTGCCATTAGCCTTCTCCAGTATTTCCTTTCTTTAAAGCAGGTGCCCCCTCCGTTTAATCTTGTCTACATCCATGAAGGCTTCTTGCCTCCAGTTTCTTCCTAAAGATCTCCACCCTGTGGTCATAACCGACAGTGGCAGGTGGCTTGGTGCATTAAATTCGGTTCAGGATAGTCAAAGGTTTTATTCTAGCCTATTTTGAGGTTAAACCCCACCTGCCTGGCTGCTGCTGGTCAGGACCTGATGCAGGAGGCTCAGCTGATGGACCTGGGAGTGGTGGATGGACCAACTGGATGTTTTGGATGGACTTTAACACTTGCAGACAGGTTTTGAACAGAGTTGGTTTCCTTGCAGAGCATGGCACAGAAAGCAGTTCCGGAGACCTCCTCGGAGGGAATTCATCCCACCTACATGCACAAGGTGGTTCTCCTGGGGAGCACATCAGTGGGCAAATCGAGCCTGGCCTACCGATACGTGAGAAATGACTTCAAGGAGTCGCTGCCCACCGTGGGATGTGAGTGAGTGGCTTCAAAAGCTTTATGGCCCTTCCTTGCAGTGGGGTGGGACGCAGGAGAACAGGTTAGTATATCCTGCAGTAGCACAGGCCCACTCTTGAAAAATCATAGAATCGTCTAGGTTGGAAAGGACCTTCAAGATCATCTAGTTCAACCATCAACCTAACTCTGACAAAAAAAAAAACACATCACTAAACCATGTCCCCCAACACTATGCCAACCCATAAATGATATGGATGTGCCCCAGAGCCAGACCTCCCCCCGTCACTGCCACCCATTTCCCTCAGGACCAGACTGTAAGGAGAGCCACATCCAAATTGCACAGGTTTAGTTCAGCGCTGCTTTTTGGAGGCAGATGAGCAGTGAAACGAGTGAAACCTGAAGTCCAAACCATGTGGCCCCATCTGACTTATGCACCCGTGGTCCTGTGCTGCCCTCACAGCTATTTGGACACCCCAGGAGAGACTCTCCTGGACGTGGCGCTGCCCCAGCCTCAATGTCCCACTGGAGTGAGGAGGTTCTGGCTGGGGTGCGAGTGGACAGGACAGTCCAGGAGGTGGTGGCCAGCTGTGGGAGGAACCCACAGCCAGCACTGCCTGATGGTAGGCTCACAGCAGTGTCTCATTCCTCTGTCATAGAATCATAGAATTGCCCAGGCCGGAAGGGACCTCCAAAGGCCATCTAGTCCGACCTCCCTGCAGTCAGCAGGGACACCCCCAACTAGACCAGGTTGCCCAGGGCCTCGTCGAGCCTCTCCTTGAATATCTCCAGGGAAGGGGCCTCAACCACCTCCCTGGGCAACCTGTTCCAGTGCTCCACCACCCTCACAGTGAAGAGCTACCTGTCCTACCTGCAGACCCCAGCGTTGGGCTGCAAAACGCACGCTCTGCCCCACTGGCAAAGGTGGAGACTACAGACCCCAGCGTTGGGCTGTAAAATGCACGCTCTGCCCCACTGGCAAAGGTGGAGAGCATCTGCCTCCACGCATCCCATCCTGACAGGCCATGCTGAACAACCCACGGCCACGTGGTCAGGCCACATGCACGCTCGTGGCTCTGAGGAAAACCATCTGGAGAGCTCTGAGAGCCCTGCTCCCTCTACATCTTCCCCTGGGCCATCAAGCTGCCTCCCCTGTACGTTCACTTCAGCACAGCTTCCTACAGCACCTAGACATCGTAGACATTCATTTCACGTGATTATACCTGGGTTTTGCCGTGAGAAGGCACAGCAGACACAGATGTTGTGGTCTCACCTGGAACCTGAAGAGGCATCTGGTGGAGGAGAGCGAGGTGTTGTGGATCTGCTTCCCTCATCCCTCTACCTCAGCTCTGGCTGGTCCATAAGCAGCCATCTGCTCCCTGGGAGCAGGGATGGAGGCTTCCCTCCGTTGGGAGCACTTTTCGGTGGATGTTCCTATTCACAGCTCTGGTCCACCAGCAAGGTGGAGGTGGCTCTCTGGGGGCTATTCTCCAAAGCTCAGAGCTGTCTGATATCAAAAGTGCTGTGCATTCACCCAGATCCACTGCCAGGAAGGGCTCCCAGCCTGCCCTGCCTTGCAGCACGCTGTCCCATTGACAGTGCCAATGTTTATGAGAAACCCATCCCAATTTCTGCATTCGAGCATTGCTAGGGGTCTTTGGGGTGGCTTTGACCTCCCAGCAGCAGATCTGAGCTCTCTGCTCTTGATGCACATCAGCACGCCCCCTGCATCTTGCTTGCAGGCTCCTTCTTCATGCAGACGCTCAACCTGGAGGTAGCCACCATCAAGCTTGAGATCTGGGACACAGCAGGCCAGGAGAAGTACCACAGCGTCTGCCACCTCTACTACCGGGGTGCCCACGCTGCTCTCCTCGTTTACGACATCACTAAGAAGGTAAGGCAGGGGACACTGACCCCATCTGTGCCGAAACTAAGCCCTGCTGCACCAGCACTGGTGGGGCACAAGTGTCCAGATGATGGTGTTTGTCCTTGGTGGAGCAGAGAGGAGTACACGAGCACCTCCTGAGAAGATGAACGTCCCACTTGGGGACATGCCAGGGGCTGTCCCTGCCCATGCAGGACCATGCCACCACCCCAGGGGCAATTTCTGCTGCCATGCAGGAAGGGTACACCCCATCCAAGGCCGATTCATCCCTAAGGGTGTTGAAGGCCAGTGGCTTGTTTGCCTGTCAGAGAGGTCAATCAAAGCCTCCCCATCACATCTCTTCCACTCCCTTCGGTTTGGTGCCACCTACCCAGCTTTGCTGTGCCTGAGACAAAGGGATCAAATCAAAATCGGATCACTGGGTGGCTTTGTCTCCATCTCTCCAGGAAACACTCAACAGAGCAAAGCTGTGGCTGAGGGACCTGGAGAAGGAATTCCTTCCGGATGAAATTGTCATTGCCTTGGTGGGCAACAAGATGGACCTTGCTGCTGAGCGAGAAGTTGCCACCGAGGTGAGCGTCTGTGGTGAGCTCCCAGGCCCCCTCATCACTCCCTTGCCAGCAAGTACTGGGGTTCAGCAAAGCTGAGAATTTAAAAGGCTTTCAGATGCCTTCAAAATGGGCAAGGGCTGGGGGAATAACTCTGCTTGTCTCCACCTAGGAGGGGGAAGAGTTTGCAAGGACCAAAGGCCTTCTGTTCATGGAGACGTCTGCAAAATCCAACCACCAAGTAAATGATATCTTTATGGCCATAGGTGAGTTGTGTGATGGCTGCAGGTGACAGCAGAGGCAGGTGAACCACAGGTCCCAAACCTCTGCTTCAAGGCTGTAAACACCTTCTCCCCTTCCATTACTTGTGCTTGCCACTGAGGTCTTCTTCCCAGCTGGTCCAGCCTGTGTCACACCCGGCAGCTGCAAGGGTCACATACACAGCAGTCCATGGTTTCTGTGAAGTGTGCCACACTTCTTAAGGCAGAAGGATGGAAAGATCCATCCCAGGATGCTCCAACATCAGAGGTGGATCTCAGGCCCTCTCCCAAAGCTACAATCTTCTTTTGCTTTAGTATCTAGTCTAGATATCTATCCCCTGCATAACTGCTCAGTAGACATCTAGCACGGTCACTGTGGGATGGTACAGGTGGCCATCAGTGACCCCCCTGGGGTGGGACGGGACAGCCATCACATCCCACCCCATCAGCAGGAGAACTGAACCTTTTCTCCCCTTGTGTTTCTTCCTAGCCCAAGAGCTCCTGCAGCGGGAACAAAAGAAGGCATCTGCCTCATCCCCGCATGGGAGGTCAACAGTTGACCTGGGGGAGAGCGGGGTGAAGAGGAGGTGCTGCCAGTTCTGAGGATGGACAGCTGTGGACCTCAGGCTGCACTGCCAGCAGTGGCTGGATGAGGTTTCCAAGAGGATCAACGACAATGTTGGGAGATGCAGAACTACAGGGGCAGCTCAGCCCAACCACTCTCCTCCTCAGAGGAAGGTCAGAGCCTGTCCTAGGGACACAGGACCTCTTCAATTCTCCAGGAGGTAAAGCCTGGGGGGCTTCTTCCACCAACTTTCTGCTACCAGAGAGGAGCATGACACTCTGGTACTCCTGCCACCAGCCCTGACTGGTGACACACCCTGCCCCAGCTGCCTGTCAGCTCCTCTGTGTCCCTTCCCATCCAAAAAGGGAGGGGTTAACATTTTGGAGTGAAGCAGGTGCATCCTGGTGGCTTTTATCCCCAGGCTGCAAATAAAGAGAACATTGCCCTCAAGGTGTTGGGTCACTGATACAAGAGCCAGGTCTGGGGCAGAGGCACCACCATGCCCTGTGTCTGCATTATGGGTTACTCTACTGGAACATGCCAAAAACATCTCCAAAAGCATGTCGGAACCCAGAAAACCCAAGGGGTGTTGGGCTCAAGGAGATACACCACCCTTTCCAGGTCAGCTGCAGCAACACCAGCATGGCCACAGGTGGTGGTCACCTCCACTTGTCCTGTCCACAGGGCAACCCAGTTGCTGGGTTTTTGAGGCATGCCTTCACAGAGATGTCAGGGGCAAGGCTTGGCCAGGCTGAGCTCGGCTACAAGGCAGCAGACACCCTTGAAGATGCTCCCCACGTTGAGGAGGGGACCACAGCACCCTCTGCCCAGGTTTGTCAGGCCAAAACCTGCCCCAGGGACCACCTCCAGCACCCCACACCAGCCAGGAGCACCCACCTGAGATGCTTCCCCAGGGCTGAGAGGTCCTCAGGACAGGACAGGAGCTCCATCCCAGCAAGAAAGAACATCTGCTGCCTCCTCCTGCCTAAATCCCCTTCCTCAAGGCAGCTGGGAGGCAGAGGTGTTGATTGCCACTCATCCCCTCCACCTGGTCCCTACCTCCTGAAATTAACCCTTCTCTTCCCAAACAGCCCCCAGAGTCCCAATGCTGGGCCAGGAGAGGCAGGCAGGGATGCTGAGCGCTGGGGCTCACCTTCCCCTGTCCCCCTTTTTACCCCTAAACTGGAGAGGGGACAAAATTATCTGCTTTGGTGTCAGAGCTCGCGAAGGGACATTGGGGGACATGGGGGACATCGGGGGACACGCACTCCCCAAATATTTCTGACCCGGGCCGTAGGAATTGGGTGGCTGTTTTTGATGCTGGCACCATGGAAATCACAGAATCACAGAATCTTCTAGGTTGGAGGGGACCTTAAAGATCATCTTGTCCAACCGTCAACCTAACTGACAAAAATAGACACCCACACAACAAACAAGAAGCAAC